GTGCACTAGGGAATTACAGACACAAACTGAACTACAACTGAATAATCCATTAAAAGTGTGCTGCTTTACTGTAAAACATAGTTAATAAACTAAATGAAGTTTGAAAAATGTTCTTACAAAGCTGATGTCTCAGTCCTTGTTGAGACATTGATTTTTTGTTGCATCACCTTTGTTCAGTAGCAAAGGAGCTGAAGGGTCAGTTCTTTCCAAGTTACATAGTCATTACAGATTTTGTGGCATAGCTAGCAACTGTACCAAGAATGTTGTTGCAACTAAGAGGACACTAATCTTGAAATGCCTGATACTGTACTCCACAAAATAATTAGTGAGATCTTGAAATGAATTATCATCACTAAAAAGGAGTCTGATGGGGAAGGAAACACAGATCAGAAAGAAAAACCAGCTGTGAAATAGGCTTTAACAAGAGCACTCAGAGAGTGCATGTATCTCCACCAAGGCACAACATTCACTCATGCAAATGGGTCCCTTGTGAAAACTGATATCCAGAAAAATGCAAAATGTGTCCTAAGTTCTATGATCTGGATCAGATCTGGATCATCTTTTAGGGTATGATAGGCAGTTATATTGTGCATCTTACCTAGAACTGGTCAGTCTTAACTTCAAAGTCTACAAACGTTCATCCGATCGTCATAAACATAGTAAACTTAACTTAGTAAACATAGTAAGCTTGTTCACAGTTTGACTGTGTAAACATACGCCTATGCTGGTTTAGGGGAGAAAGAGGGATTTCAGTGAGTTGAATGAGAGCAAAGTGGCAAAGACGTCGAAGTTTGGCAAGTTTGTGTTTTGCTTATTCAACTGCTGTGTGATGAGTTGTTTATAATGTCTCCATTACTGACTATATTGCACCTAACAAGCATTGTGGTCAACTCAAGTAAAATATCACTTCCTGTCTGCTCCTCTCCTCTGTCTGTGAGCAGCTCGCCCCTCCCTTCCTTGATGTTGAGAGAGAGCAGGGAATGCAGGGACACTCCAGAAGAGAGGAGAGAGTCAGTAAAAGTGAAGAAGGATCAGCATTTGATCAGTTTTATGTTAGTGGGTACAGATATTGTCAGATATGCCCAGGTTGGCTCTGATTTTGAACCTTTGGATCAGCTCAGGGCACTTCAGGTATGCAGTGCTGACATTCCCTCTGCAGGTTTAGAAGCCTGTCACTGTCCTTTTCCACTGTATTTATCCCAATTTGAAGTCAGAATTCTACTGTCCTTAAGTGGCTGGATTGCACTAAATAAATAAAACTACCATAATAACAGGGAGCATGAAGCAGCAAAAAGGGAGTCTTGTTACAGTATAATAAACTGTAGTTGGAAGACTTCACCCAGACTAACTAAACACATCTGGATTAAAATGTTTGGAGGTACTTTGTTATATTCATCATCTGATGGAAATTCCAGCTGTGCTGTGTGTTATTTGCAGCAACAAGCAAATGAACTAACACAGTAGGCTGAATTACAAGGGCATAGATGGAAGCAGTTGCTTTGTCTTTATTATTTATTAGTAGGTAGTTTCAGACACTCTGTGGTTGAAGCATACTGACACCTTAAGGAGAAACAAATTTTAATCTAATACTGATAGAAATTTAAAATTAAGTTTGGGAAATATTACTAGTTATGACTTGATAGCACCTCCTGTGGTGGTGGTGGTGTTTGTAGCCTTAAATCTGAGATGATCTTGTCTCATCTCATGCCAGTGCTGCAACAGTGCAAGTCACATAATCCATTGCTGCCTTTTCAAAATGTACAGTGATGCTGCAGAAGGACTGGTTAAAGGAAGCAGACAGAGGGCATACAGAAAGAGGATCCATGAGAAAATTAGATTAGGACAGAGAGGAGAAGAATTTTAAGTAAATGGCATTATTAGGAGGACAATTTTGAATGAGAAAATGCATTACAGAGAACAGACAGATGAGTGGTAGCGAGGCAAGAGAGGGAGAGATGGAAATTGCCAAACAGCGTCACAATAGGACTGTGCCAGACTTGAAAGCCACAATATATGAGATGGAGGGAGCGTTTGGTCAGCCGCCAAGATAGCAATTTATAAATTTGCCTTAGTGTGTGTGTGTGTGTGTGTGTGTCGTGGGGGGAAGAGGGGGGGGGGGGGGGGGGGGGGGGGGTGGTTATACAAAGTACAGGATCAGTTAGTGGTCCAGAATCAAATTATGTCTGAGCTGACAAGCAGGAGTAATGACACTGAGGCTGAACATGGAGCTGCTCTCTCAGCCTGATACGAGCACAGTAAGATGGTGGGAGAATGCTCTGGTGCTCAGACATCAATATTCATACCTCAATTTTTCTGCGTTTGTGCTGCTTACGTCAATATTTATATGCTGAAAAATGGCTTAGTTGGATAAAATTGAGGTGCTATTTATGTAGTCCCAAATTGTTCAATATTAACTAAATAAAAAAGGCTGAAAAAAATAATCATAAAATGTGGAAAGTATAGTCATGGCCAAAAATACTGGTTGGCTGAGGAGCTGAGAACCACAAAAGTAGAAAAGCCTGGACAGTCTCAAGGCTCCGAGTCCGTCTCCAGAGATCTGGCTGTTCCTGTGTCCACTGTGCACAACATTGTCACAAAGTTTACAGCCCATGGCGCCGTAGCTAATCTCTCTGGACGTGGACCAAAGAGGACAATCGATGACAGATTGTAACAAAGGATTGTTCTAATGGTGGATAAAGAACCTCGATCAACTTCCAGACAAATTCAAGCTGACCTGCAGGTACAGGGTGCAACAGTGTCAGCTCACTCTATTCGTCGTCATCTGAATGACAAGGGACGCTACGGTAGGAGACAGAGACCCCACTGTTGACACAGAGACATAAAAAAGTCAGACTGGAGTTTGCCAAAACTCCAGTCTGTCTCCAGTCTGGCTGGAAGCAACAATCCTTCTATGAGAATGTCCTGTGGACAGAAGAAACTAAAATAAAGCTTTTTGGTCGAGCACATCATTCTGCTGTTTTAAGAAAGTGAAATGAGGCCTTCAAAGAAAAGAACACAGCCCCTACAGTCAAAGTAGGGCCTAGTGTCAGAAAGCTGGGTCTCTGTCGGAGGTCATGGTCTTACAGCAGGACAATGACCCAGAGCAGACTTCAAAAAGCACCAGAAATGGTTTCAGAAAATGAGCTGGAGAGTTCTGAAGTGGCCAGCAATGAGTCCAGATCTAAACCCCTTAGACCTCCTATGGAGAGTTCTCAGAGCAGCAGCTGGGAGAAGGAGCCCTTCAAATCTGAGAGACCTGGAGCAGCTGGCAAAGGAAGAGTGGTCCAAGATTTCAGTGGAGAGGTGGAAGAAACTCACTGATGGTTACAGGAAGTGACTGATTTCACTTATTTTGTCCAAAGGGTGTGCTGCTAAATGTTAAGTTGAGGGTATCTATAATTCTGTTTGGAGTTCTGTGTGGAATGGATCAGATTTTTCTGTTTTTTGTGTTGTTCCAATGCAAACAAAAGAAATAAACATGAGAATACCCAAGAATTTGTGATTGCAACAGTTTTCTGGGAGAACTGATGCATTATCTGAAAGAAATGCAGGGGTGCCAGTATTTTTGGCCATGATGGTATAAACTCAGCTAATTACTATGAGATATTATCTTTGAGCATTCTTTCTGACAGTCCAAGTTCATTTTTATGATATAAATTTTAAGTTCGTTTTAGTTGCTACTACAGATGATCTGGGGCTTCATAGATTATTTATTTGCCCCTTGCTGGGACCTCATTAATATTGTAAAGTTTAAAAATAGCTGCTGAATAGCACCATTTGAATTATATTCACATTCTCCTTTCCAGCAAGTGTTCGTTTCCTTATTTTGTGATAGCTACACTAATCATCAGCTAATGCGAATAGCTCAAAATTCTGAACCTTTTTATCTGCACATAAATGCACCAAAAGTTAGTAGTTGACTTCTCAAATGTGTCTGTACTTTGAGCAGCATTATAGCCCATTTTAAACCAGATGTAATCACAAATAAACGACCTCTTTCAAACAAGTCTCAGGTAGTAGATTTTTCATCTTTACTGGAATGAATGAACTGAATAGAAACTCTAACAGCCACACTGAGAACATTTAACTATCTACAGTAAAGGAAGGTTATTTTTATTTATAGGACTAAAACTTGCAAAAACAGCAGACTAGTCTTTATTGAACAAATTCTTAAAGAACAAAGACTTGTATGAAATTGCTCATTTGTGTTCTGAGTTTATATTGGAAAATCACAGAACATCTACATTATATTCTAATCATGCTATTCCTCTCCAGTTCGATCTTTTGAGTGCAGCTTTGAGCTGGACTGGCTCAATCTACATCAAACCTGACCTGATCTTTTGTTAGTCTGTTTTCTCTTTTCTCAGTTCTTACACTAAAAGCACAGCTGGGGCTTTAAAACCACACACCTACTGAGATTAACAGAGGCAAGTGCAATATGTAAAGCAGAGAAATGTTTCTCAAGACAGAGCTGGGCACACACAATCTTGCTCTTCGTAAAGGCAAATATTAACCTGCAGTCATCAGACAGCACACCACAGGAAACACTGGGAGGCCCTTACAGTTCCTTTTGAATGTGTGTGAGTGGAAAACAGTGCAGAACCTGTTGTATGTGTTGGTTGAAATGTAATATGTTCAAAAATGGAGCAGGCTCTTTGTATAAGAAAACCCCAAGGACCTCATGTGAACATAACTGGAACATGACTCACCTTAGTCTGCTGGCATAGAAACAGGACTGCACCCCCTGCTGACCATTTGGTGTCATTGCATACTTGTGTATATATTAAAGTGGGTTGGAGGATGGTGTTTTTGCAGAGCTTCCAAGCCACAGAGGTTTTAGTGTTTAATGGCTTCCATTTGTGTAATAGCTGTTTACATTAACCTACTTGTCTTACAGAAGCACAATGTAAAAGTATGCTGGATATCCCTGCATCACTTCTACATGGGTGTCATCATAATCACTCAATCTGTGCTGTCCATCCATCTGTCTGTCTGCCCAGGTGTCCACATCCTGATTGCTGTCGGCGCAGTGATGATGGTGGTCGGTTTCCTTGGGTGCTATGGAGCCATCCAAGAGTCCCAGTGTCTGCTGGGAACTGTGAGTTGAGGTCACATTTAAAAGTGCCCAGGGAAGTTTTAAACCTGTAGTTGCACTATGGAATGGTATATTGATGAGCAGGCCCTGACTTGGTTTATCTGATGCACTTGCATGAGGATGTACAAACATAATTTTTGTTTATTTACAAGAAAACATCACAGAGCTCCTTTCACTTAATAAAGTGAAAAAACATGTTTTTATTGCTGTACTGACTGGAGGTTGCTCTAAAATTTTGTTGTACGTGTTACAATGACAGTAAAGGATTATCTTATCTCTCTTATCTTATAAAGCCTTATTTTGTCTCACTAAGGAATCAAGTAACACCTCAGTTAGCTAAATCCTGAAAATGACCGGTTATCTGATGTTTCTGTTCTGCCCCGCAGTTCTTCACCTGCCTGGTCATCCTCTTCGCCTGTGAGGTTGCAGCTGGAATCTGGGGCTTCATGCACAGGGATACTGTAAGACTGCGAACATACACTAGAGGTTGAAATAGGCTTACAACATTGAGCCCAGAAGTACAGTAAATACTTCCACAAGGTTTTTGCATATCCCTAAAATACATTTTGAATACAGGTTTATTCAAAAAGAATGAACCGATTTCATTACGCAATATTTTATTAAGGAAAAGTAATACAAAACTCCAGCCAAGTCAAGTATTCTACTCATAATCAACTTTTATTTCCTGTCTTACGAGTGTTCAATGTGGCCACCACCTGCAGCACGGGCAACATCAATGTGATAAGAGAATTCCTCCCAGGCGCATATTAGCATATCAAGATCCACTGAGTTGATCGCTGTTGTTGTGGCCACATTGAACACTTGTAAGACAGGAAATAAAAGTTGATTATGAGTAGAATACTTGTGACTTGGCTGGAGTTTTGTATTACTTTTCCTTAATAAAATATTGCGTAATGAAATCGGTTCATTCTTTTTGAATAACCCTGTATTATGAAACGGATGCTTTAAAAAGTCAGGACTCCTGTGTTTTCACATATTCTGGTTTATTATGTCTGAAGTGGCACTTTAGATTTGGGGTTCCCTCATCAGGTGTCCAGTGTGTTTTTATTTATATATGAAATGAGGCCTCAGTGACTGTAAAGTTTTGTTTTTTATACATTATTTGAATCCGTGGCTGTTTTTTTCTGTATTTTAAAGCAGGCGCCACCACTCTTGTGGAAGTGTGCCATGAGTATGGGTGAAAAAAAATAAATATTAGCCTACAAAAATATATCATTAGCACCTTAATCTGTTATATATGCTGCTTGCTCTTACCTTTTTTTAAATAATTACCCAGTGAAGCCAGTCAAACCATTATATAATAATAATATATAAGATTATAGAATATTTACTGTACTTCTTACCACTGTAAAAGCTAAAGGCATTTCCATATATATATACTTTATTTTTATTTTTTATTTTTTTTCCAAGTTTTTCTTAGGTTTTACAAAGGCCAAGCAAGTCATTTCTAGCTTGCAGAATACAAAATATAACTTGGGAAACAGGTTCAAAAAATAAGCAGCTTGAAAGTGTTTTAAAATCCTACTTTTCCCCTTTTCTTTCTTAAGTGTTGTTAAATGACCTTTGTTTTTGAAGAGTCAGTGTTTAACATTTTGCAAAAACAGATGCTATACACTTGATGTTTAATGTTTCCTGCCTCTGTCCTGTTCTGTTTCTCTTCGCACGCCTTAAAAACAAAGTACTAACACTTAAAATTCACTTGAGCTCTGGCAACAACAGTAGGTTTTCAGTTTAAGGCTGAGCCCAAAGAAACCTGTTTGTTTCCGTTTTAGGTGGCAAAGGAGATGATCGCCTTCTACGACTCTATTTATGACAAGGCAATAAGCAACACTGATAAGCAAAAGGAAAAGCCTGCTTCCGCTGTCATCAAAGTCTTCCATGACACGGTATGAAAATAATAATAATATGTGTTATTTATTTATTAAATTGTGAAGATGGGTTTTTCTTTTCACACTTTTATTTACTGTTGTTTTTACCATTTTTAATGTATTTACTACTGGTGATGTGCAACACAGACCTCTGTGTGCATTTATTATAAGGAGCATTAAGAGTTGCTCAATGAAAAGTAGAACTGAAGGGATGAAAACCATTAATAATCTAAATTAAGGCAAAAATATTTTGTGTAAAATACCAGGCATATTTACTGATGCTAGGAAAACCATGGTAAATGTACAGTATGAGATTATGGAAATGATAATGCCTAATGAGGTGTGTGTAATACACATTAAATGTGGATGTAAAGAGTGTTGTCCTCCTTATACTGTACCATGACGACTTGTTCACGCAGGCTTGGAATTCAAATTGTGCCCTTCTCATAAGGCTCTTCCTAGGCCTATTGTGGTGTCACTGGTTCCCATTCATTGTCTCCCTACACAGTATTAGTTGACTCACAGTTCACGGAGCTCCTCCACTGTTTGGATGGATCATGAAACCTGGTTTAATCATCTGCACAAAAGATGACAAGACAACTGTTAGAAAATATCTGGTTCTTTAGTCAAAAGTTGGAGTTGTGTACACTGTGTACAGATCTGCAGCTTTAATTAGTTTGTGTTCAGATTCCAGGTCATTTTTGGCATCGTGTTTTGTTCACAACTGCAACAATGAAGCATTTTAAAAAGTTGTGCAGCGTATATGGTACATAAGAAGGCAAGAGATTGTAAGGTGAAAACTGTGAAGCTCCTTTAATTAAAATTAGGATGCTGCTCCGGTCAGAAGAGCACCCTGAGAACACATGTACAGAGTCATCACTGGACTGTTTTTGTGTTTCAGCTGAGCTGCTGTGGTAAAGACCCGGGAACCACTTTAGTGACACAGTTTGCGGATGCACTTGGTGTGACTAACATATGCTCCGGCTCTGTGACTACAGTGGTAAGTGCAAACATCCATCTCAACAGTTCTATGACTACTTTGATGCAACAACTGCTTGACCAAACTGAGTTTGTGTTCACATTGTAGCCAAATTAAAAGCAGCACATTTTGAGTAGGTAACATTTCAGGGCCTGTGTTTATCAGGCATCTCAGAATGACTCCTGCAAATTACTTTAGCACAAAAAACCGTCCTGTTTCATACAGGGACATGTGTTTTTATGAAGAGTCCCAATGGCACTTTCAGTGAGGAGAAATCAAAGTCCTAGAAATGAATGTGATGTCACTAAGAACCGCAAAGCTGACATTATGGTGACATGATGTAGTTCTTCTGACTATTGAGGTCTGTAGTTTTAGACAGTGGGAAGATGAAAGCACTGATATCAGTGCCACTTGTCACATTAAGGCTTTATGTGTAGAGACAAAAAGCTTGATAACAGAAGATAACACAATCATTAAATGCTTAATACTACGGTTTCTGTAGCACATAGTAAGTTCATTGGAAAAGCTTGTAATTTGACTTCACTGATTGAAATTGTCCTCATCAGCACTATCCAGTCATTATTTCTGAATCCCTATAATAAAGCTGTGTATCCATTGGGATCCTGTTTCTTTTCAAATTAAGGTTTTATTCCACCCTCACTGAGAACCCTTGAGATGTGTGTTGGATCCAGGCCAGTTGGATCAAATAGCTCTCATTCATAACCACGCAGGTGTTAATGCTGTGATAAGAGATTCTATGCTTGGGGCAATCATTTTAATAACTCCAACTAAACCAGCGTTTTGCAAAAATACAGTTTGTTTTTGTTGATTCTACTCTGCACGGTGAAGGAATCTGTGCATTTTCAGTGGAGCTGTAACAGTATAAGGCTCCTCAATAGAGATATCAACATGTGATACTAAGTATCTGTATCTATATCTGCATCTGTGCCAATCTGGGCATTTTTCACAGGATCAGTATAAGTCATAACAGAGCCAATCCAATTCCGATCCATAAGCAGAACTATAGTCCTGTATTTGAGCAGCTTCAGTCACGTTTTGAGACACAGGAGTAACCAGTGTGATAAGCTGCTATGTTAGTCAGTCCAGCTGGCTACACTGCCCACATAGCATCACTGGCACCTTACGTTCACCACAGCCTGAAACCTGTTTTTAGCTTTGTCTGTTTTTTGGAACAGTTACACGGGTACAGTTCACCACAGAATCCACCAAAACAACAAAAGCTCACTATTTCAAACCAGAACTCCACCAAATTAGAGAAATACATCAAGCAAAACCGGTTAACACACATGATCTATTTATCATCTGTTACATCAATCCTACTGAACATGGCAGTTCTTTTTAAAGTAGTGTAGTTTTTATTTGCTGCCCTTTTTTTCCCTTGTAATGTACAAGAAGATATTGATTTAGCTAACAATGATTATTTTTTGAGCAAAAGCATCCTATAATAATCTGAAATCACTTTATATGGATTTATAAATTTGATACATTTTTTTATTACATTGACATTTCAAGACACTTATTGTGTGAACATTTGTTGGAAATTCCACCGTAAAATTTAAGGACACACGGCCGCTGAAATACAGTTTAATTTTGGAATTTTTTGATTTGATTTAATCTTTCAAGCATGTAAAGACAGTCGATATGTCAACACACATAATTTTACACATATCCAACAAATGCTAATCCAATATCAATTTGCTTATACCTAGTACATGCTTGAATGGAGTAGGAAGAAGTCAGACTTATCCAGTCCTACCCCATAACATCATACATTACCATCATTGGTTTGCAAGCAGTAAATAATTCTCTTCTACACCACACAAGTAATATACTAAAAAATTATAAGAGTGTTAACATTCTTACATAATTACATTCTTAAATAATTAT